CCCCCCAACAAAAACCCTCCAAACTTGCTGGGTGATTTCTGGGGCAGAATTTCTACCATGCTGTGCAGAAGTGGCTGTATGTTAGCAATGAATGTGTGCCATTTGCAAAGAACTTCAGTGTCTTCCAGTTTGCCCAGCACTACCCCAACTGAAAAGTAATCTGATGTATCTGTTTGGTACCTTAAACTTTAGATTTATTATGTAATTTATATGTAGCTATTTTACTATATATTTGAGAGTTTTTCTGTGTGTTCATTCAAGAATGCCTCCTAAATGGTAAGAGCAAGGACCACTGAATTTGGTACACAGCTTCCTCTTATTATAACTTAAAATAAGGTAAGGGTTTGGTTGTGCCAGGAAACTGGGATGTGCCTGGAATGGGATTGCTTCTCATAAAATCATGCAGCAAAGAGACAGAATAATCAGATGAAAGGGGCTGGCATGGGGCTACCTTTCCTCCAGAGGAAGATTTTAAGGTACTTTTGGCAGTACAGGGAGAAGCGGCTTCCCAGCGGAAGCAGCGGGGACAGTCACTCATTAAGGCCAGCAGCAGAGGTGTGAGTGGGAGGGGTGGTTCTCCGAGCGGCAGGTGCCCCACATGTCTCTACCAGGCCATTCCACTGCGCAGGTGCATCCGGGGTGGGGGAGCCCCCTCCTCCCTCCACCTCTGATGACACTCGGACCGGGCCCCTCCCCTCCAGTGGTGGCCGAGACTTGCTGAGTGACAGGCTGGAGCTCATGGCCGCTGCTAGCGGGTGGTTGCGGGCACAGCGGGGCGAGCCCAGCAGGGAGGCAGCGGCGGCGGTGCTGGGAGCAGCCCGGGGTCCAGCACTGCTTCCTGGTCACATGGCGGGGAACCCAGCACCTGCTTGCTACGGCCTGCAGGAGAGGGGAGGCACCGGTGCGGCCCCATGGTGCAGCAGGTAGCGGGGCGAAAGTTTCAGGGCAGGTGGTGGGTCGTTGCCCCCTGTGGCACCTGCAGACCTGGGTGCGAATTGGGCCGTCCCGCCCACCCTAGGTCCCGTGCTCGCCCCCTCCCACCCCTCACATGGGGCACCCCCAGCAGGATCCCCATCACCTGCCCCAAGCAACGCCAGGTAAGTCTAGCTAATGAATTTTAAATGCAGAGCTGCAGCAGGGTTAGGTTCCAGATCTGTTGCAAACCAGGACTGAAAAAACATTTACTGGCTGGTGGGAGTGGGGGAATGCATGTAGTCTATAGCATTAACTTGTAAGCTTTTGCTTATTGGTTAATCAGTTAATCGACTACCCTATTACATCCCTAATACCGATCACGGAAGGAGAATCTGAAAACAGTATTGTGGAAGCCCAGTGTAGATAAGATGTGAATGTAAATGTGATTGATAATGTCGAAGGTAAGGATAACGGAAGAGGAGAGGCCTTAAGGTATGTCTACACTGCATCCCTAGTTCGAACTAGGGATGCAAATGGAGACAATCGAACTAGTTAATGAAGCGGGGATTTAAATATCCCGCGCTCCATTAACATGATCTCGCCGGCGCGCTAGTTCGAATCACAGCTGATTCGAACCAGGAAGTGCGCGCCGGGACGCGTTAGTTCGGACTAAAGCCCTTAGTCCGAACTAATGTTACTCCTCATTTTTTGGAGGGGATCAGGCATGGAGTTGAAAGAAAGAAGATGTTTTAACTGTTTTAACATGATCTTAATGGTATCTCTCCATTTTTTGGAAAAGGCAGTGTAGTCACTCACTTTCTATCTTGACTAGAAAAATTGTTTTCTGCAGTTTGGGAGCCAAGGACTACCAGTAGTGTGTCTCAAAGGTATTTGGGTGGGGAGGCAGATATGTGCAGCAGGTTCATTCTTGTTCAGACTTAGCAATAGAAACTCTAGCATGATATTGTATATCCAGCTTTTGTGCCTGAAGATGAACAGCGGGAGCTTCAGGTCTCTAAAGTCCAGATTGAAAATGATGGGAACCATATGATGGAGAGAGAGATAATAGGTTGGATTTGAGGAATTCTCTGCTTGGTCATCTAGTTAATTCCCTGAATTAAGTCATCACATAATCGCCATTAAGGAGGGTAGGTGTAAGCACTACCAAGTTTTGTCCACAAAAGTCAATTTCTGTTGACAAAACAATGGAGGTGTACATAGGATAATGCTTCTTTTGCCTACAAAACTTCCCTGCTTTGCCACTCCAGCTGGAGCCCTCATCCCCTCCTAATCCCCAACTATGTGCCTCAGCCTGAGTCCCCTTCTACACCCAGAGCCCCCATTTGGAACTCACCCCCAACCTCTTATTCCTCCTCCCCATACTGTTCATGTGTGGAATGACTTAAGTCACCTCCATATTGGTGCGCACAATGAAAGTATTCTGTGCATAGACATAAAACATTAGAGATAAAACTGGTGTCGAGTTTTTTTGCAGTAAAGCTGTTATGGACAGAGTGTCAGTATAGACACTGCCCTTGGTTATGTCACTGTAAATTGCCTGTAGGAGGTGTTCAACGATGCCCATCCTAGCCACTTTGTCAGCAGTTTGAATTCCATTGCCCTGCATCCAAGTATATAGGCGTCTGCCCCTCCCAGTTTAAAAGCCCAGGATTTTTTGACATTCCACTTCCTATTTGCTTGATATGGAGAGCTCCCATTTCATCTTCCCAGCTGTCCATGGCGGCTCCATGCAGCAAACACTGGAGTTCATCTGTGTTGTTGGCTATGCTGGCTCTGTGGGGAGAGGAGGCTGAAGTCCTAGGCAAGCCTATTCACAAACTTTTGGCGGACCAGTAACATTTTATTTGCATACTGATTATGCAAATAAAATGTTACCTGTCTGCAAACCCACTC